GTTAAAGTTTGATACAAACGGATATAGAACTTCGGAGTTTGGGAAAAACGGAAACAGAAATAAAGTAAAAGTGACTAAGTTATCGAGGTTTTCGGCTCGAGTATTTGACATAAACTGCTGGATACTCGAAACGGATAAGCAAAAATTGTGGACCATTTTCAGGGATACCAGTTCCACCAAAAAGAAAATATTTTGATAGTCACTTCTGTTTTACGAAATCTTAAAATTTATAATCTCTACAGGAAGTGAATGGGCAGAAACTTTTGACCCGCATTCGTATTTTACCTACAAACTAACCAAAACTTTTTTAACGTATTAAAAGAGGAAATCGAATTCGGACGAATTTATATCTTCATCAATTTTTTAAAAAATTGATATTTTGTGAGGGCTTATTGCTTTGGCAACGCTTTTATTTGGCATTTTTAGAAATTTAATGAAATTTTTCTTTTTTTTGTGGTAGTCTCACTTCGTTTTTATATAAGATCATAATGAAAATCTTCTAATTGAAGGACACTGATCGAGATCTGCATCGGCATCTGCTAATAGATTTGTTTTCCCATCTATAATCTCCACTATAATACGTTTTTCTTTCATTTGTGGAAAACATGAATTCGCTACAGCAATTTCATCTCTACGTCCAATACAGTAGTCCTAGAGTTTTCGCACTTTTTCGCTATACAAATTGTAATTCTACTTACGGAAAAATTGAAAATATACCACCACAGAATATGAAATAAAGCCAGTCAAATGCTGGTCGATGTTTTAAGAACCATGATAACCTGAAGACACACCGACGATTTTCCAAATACAGCGAGATCGAATTTTGTCGAGCTCGTGACAAAGCCTGGAGGAAAACTCGAGAAAATTGAAATTCAGGTACCAACGTCGCAAACAAATCCTCAGCCGCATATCCGCCGAAGCAACAGGAAGTCTCTAAGTAAACGTCTAACCCATATAATATCTCGGTGCGGTGTTCTAAAATACCACTATGCAAGGTTTGCTATATCGACAACGGACAGCAAAGCATAATTTTCAAAAAACTTTATCGAGAAACTTGAAGAGAACAACTTTTGATAGAAATAGCCTAAAGCTTACCACCATCCCAGACGAGGTTATCATATGGTCTAAGGATTCTGGTAATCTTTCAATTAATTACCCTAATAGGAACATGAATAAGAAGTAGACGTTTCGTAGTGCAGTACTAATAGCTAATCGTACTTACCTCAGAAGCACTATTCCAACCTTAATTGCTAAATTTCTTTAAACGTTGTTGGATGAGAATCATGAATAATGAAATCACTACCACAAGTTAGGGCTTCTTCAAAGGGCTTATTTTTGTTGCTATAAGCGTAAAGCGTAATATGCTTTACGTTTGAGATACAGGATGTCACTTGTATTTTTATTTTTGGTTTTTTTGTATAAATTCCTAGATAAACCGATTTCTGAAAGAAAGTTGGAATCTAAGGATTTTTTGGAAAAATGTCAAATTGTTTCTTATTTAGCTCTTTAGTCGCGAGTGTTTTAAAAAAGCGAAACAATTTTGTATTATTATTTACCCGGAATTATTTTTAAACATCACACAGACGAACGCTAAATTAAAGGGGAATTAAAAATCCAATCAATATTACAACAAATATTGTAAAAAAAATAAAAAATAATATAAAAAGTTGACATCCTGCAACTCGAAAAATTACCCTGTGAAATATAGGACACAAATAACACGGTTTCTTCAGCATGTAAAAGATAAAAAATTGTTAGCCTTGCTGAGCTATCACATATGAACAAATTGTAGGAAATTTGAAGTTTTGTATAAGACTATTGGTATGATGATTTTATACATATAGCACTTACACTAATATGGTTGACCAGCTACGCTGCAATAGTAGACTAGACCACAGAGAACAAGAAACCGAATGAAGATTTCTCTTATTACTTATTTGGACAAGCAAAACCGTAGCAACGAATTTAAAAATAAAATCCAACGTTGCTTCTTTTTTCCCAGCGGATTTTACGACATTCGGGATAATAAGAAGGCGCGTTCTATTTCAGGGTTCAAAGACCACCCGGCTTTCCTCGTTGAGAAATATATCCACTTTTTTTTTCTCGACTTCTGTCTTTGAATTTTTATATTTTCATTTTCTTCCAAAACATACTTTAAATTCTTGCACGCAAAATTTAAAAAACGAAAAGCACTCCCCTTATTTAATTATCGCGACAAAATAGACGCCTCACGCTAAAGTCCTTACAAGAACTGTTTTAATTCACTTAACATGCCCGAATTTCGGAGCCAATTTATCACTGAAGGGTTGTTACGGAGGAAGCGGGGGAATCCCATTCCTCCAGTTGTAATTAATGAAACAATAACGCTTGAAACATACCGCGCATTTTATTAAATCGATAAATAAGCATTCTTCTTATAAGCTTTTTTTTATTAAGGCAATTACCCCAGATACGTCGACTGCCCTTTCTTACCTTCCGAAATATTCGTGAAAGGTAATCCGTTGGAGGATAAGTTTAACTTTGACCCACACATTCAAACTAAATAGATACCACATTGCGAGAAGCACGAAAAAATGGAATTGAACGGTAAATTATCGATATTTTATCCCGTATATTGACTTAATAACTAAAATCTTGGAAAATATATATCCATTATCTTAACAATAAATGCATATCCACAAACGTCTTTGGAAATGTTTGTAGTTAGGATAACGATTTTTCTAAGTTACTTGTTTCTTTAGCATTTGTATTTAAAGCTTCTTCTCCGAAATGTATTTTTTATATTAATATATATATCTTAAAGTTTGATTTAGTTAGTACTACATGTGATTCAATTTTGAAAAATCTTAGGTTAAATAAAAACATAAATTACAATTATTCTAATGGATAAAGAAGCTAATAATAAAGTTAAAAATAAGTATAACAGGAATTTAACGTAATAATGCTTGGATACGTTATTTTGACTAGGACTTTTATTTTGTCTTCTGTCATTTGTGGATGCCCATTTAGAACTTAGATGAAAAAGGCATAAAAAAAACTAGTTGGAAAGATACGCTAATATGATGATTGCCTACAGTGAAAGTAGAATTCCTTAGTAGTTTCCTCAGCAAATTGTAACTTAATTGGACGACATCATGGCGATTGTGGGCTTAACAAATATAAAGATAGTATTATGTCACTAAATTTTTGAACAGTAATTTTATTGGGACAAAAGATGTCAAAAAACGATTGTGAAACAATTACTAGCACATGGTACAATGGTACATAATGATATTGAATACTGATTGCAGAATTCGTAACGATATGTTCAAAATTTTGTTTTATATTCCATAGCTAGAATAGTTGGACAATATAAAAATATATATCACTAAGCAAGGAAAGTTGCGGAACACAAAAAGATTTATTTTAATTTAAAATATACGAAAATTTTTTCGTGTTTTTCTACTCCCGCCTGTAAAATACCTAATTACCCACCGATCTAGCATGGCGGAAGCGTCACTTACCACGTCAGTTTCGTTTCCGATGAATGCGAGACACTTCGGGATTTTACCGCACGGATTTGGGAGCAATCGGATGTATTTGGATATATTTCCCACGCTTTGAATTTTGACGTTTGTCAATTCTAACAGTCATGTCAGTGAATGTATTCGTGTTGTTTTGAGAAAATGTACCCAAAAACTAATGGTCGTAGAAAAAGTATAGCATGCAACACGTTGGGTAAACTTTTTAACTCACTCGTTTAGTAAAAAATGGCTCCGCTGCGTTCCGCTAGTGTCAAATAAACTCGTGAGTCAAATGCCGTTTACCATACTTGTTGCATAATATACTATTAAACTAGATTAGTAATTAAAATTGCAGTTACAATCGAAATAATCAATCAATCAACCAGTTCTTATATGTGCGGTAAAATAACATACCAATATCGTCGTCATCCATATTAAAGGGAAGCACTTTAATAATCACCATTAATTCAAAGATGACGGTACTTTTAAATTGCAAAGCAAAAATTATTGCTATAAAAAATGTCTCTACGGTTTGACGTTTCTCTGTCAAAATAGTAAATGCTGGATGATCTGTATTCAACGCCTACTAGATGTTTGAAGTCAAAGCATTATAAAATTACACTTTTGGGTGGAATTTACAATTGAAAAGTGGATATGTGGAAGGGGGTATATGACGTTTTTTAATAATATTAACATTTTGCTTTAGAATTGTCGTGCGTGCCGCGCCACATGTCCTGTGTGTAACCTGCATTTGCTATATTTTTACGAATACCGTCAAAACCATTGTTGTAAATTTAAACAGTTTTTCTTGATTATCTTAAAAATGTAATTTTGGCATTTCCACGCTTCGATTTAGTGTTACAATGTGGTCTATGTTAACAAAAAATGGAATTGCTTTCAAAAAGAATCAACTGAGGTATCATCCAGAGACGTACGGGCAATAAAATAAATTAAGTGCTAAAATTATTATCATCGCCATGACATTAAGCAATGAAGCAATCCCACCTAATAAGTAAACTTATTAAGCATTTTGTTGGCATTTTGGACGATTAAAACTAAAAGTTTGTCACAGAATAAGGTAGCAAACTTAGTTTCTATTCACAAAAAAGGGCAACGTACCATGAAGAATAAAGCAAGCATTGACTACCAGCTTGCGTTAAAACATTTTGGCGGCGGAAAAAAAGTTTTACACTAAACAATGGATCAAAGTGGTTATTCTTATTATATATTATATATTATAACTTCTTTATTGAGCTTAAGAAAACTGAATTTAATATGATAGAAAACATGCGGTCGTCATTTAAAAATGTACTATAAAAATATGAAAAACCATAAAACTAATTATGAGGATGAAATTTCCAGGATTTTTAAGGAAGGTATTTACTGTATTATTTCTGTTCCTGTCTTCTTTATTATAGGAAAGATGTTACAACTAGTACTAAAATTTAAAAAAAAAAAAGCGAAACAACAATTTGAGACGCCATAAACAAAACTTACCTTAAAAGACTAAAACAACATATATTATAATCGACAAGTTGTATTTAAAAACGAAACATCGCAACGCCCGTGAAAGTCACACCGCGGCCGTATAAAACTTTTGAGTTAACAACGTTAAACGGGGCTGACACCTGTAAGATGCTCCAAGCACCGTTCACCTTTCAGCGGGACTGAAATTGGTCCTTCAGTAGCGATTCAGGCTGGCTTCAGCGGAGCGAACTGAAAACGTCGGGGCTGCGAGCGGCGGCAGTGCAAATTCGCGGGCAAATCCGACGCAAGCGCCCCGATCTTCTTGCCACCTCGTATTTTTTTTATTGTCTCCCGGCTATGTTGTTTGTTTTTGTTGTTTCCATTCATGTGATTTTGTCAATTCAAAATCTAGCCAGTGACACTTAATCGTACTGTGAGCGAGTTGATAATGTGACTCAAATTAGACGAACGAAATGATCTCCTGGGTATGACAACTGGTAACAACGCAAACAATAATAATAATATGGTGATGAAAGGTCGCTGCGTCACCATAAAACCCTTTAACCACTTTGTGCAACTTTCATTCTAAACAACGATTTTCACATATATAACTTGTGTTCTCCATAAAAATGGCATCTGACCATATTTTTTCTAAATACTGCCGAAAATATGCCGCATCTAGATTAAAAACTTAAGAATTGGCGAACTGTCAGAGGACATGCCAATCGTTCAACTCCACAAGTTCCTGTTGGTTGAAAACGAGTTTAGAAATGACCCGCACATACGCATATTGAAGGGGCATTTTTACATTTTTTCATGTTGGCTTTAAAAGTGCCAAAACTATCAGCATATACAAGGTGTTATTTTTAATTTTTATTCCTATAACATCGATCCTGCAGATATCCACCCCGCTCTAGAAGTAAAATTCTCTCAGTCCTGTTGGTATTCAGAAAGTTGTGATTTCAGTAGTAATTTTGGAAATGGTACCAGCAAAACCACAAAACATTTCCCTGGAAAGGTTTCTAAAATGTGTTTCGCTTTCAATGTTAGGAGCACAGATTTCATTGAACTGAATACAATATTATATTGGTTTAAAAGTAGTGAACTGAGGTGACTTTTATTTGATGAAAATCCATTTAACAAAATAAATAAGAACTAAAAGTTCAGATTTTCACGATATTATATATTTTCAAATGACAATTGTTTCGACACGGTGTTGTCGATATTTGTTTGTATTTTTGTTTATATTTTTGAGCAGTAAAAGGAATATAATTAGTTTTGGTTAGTAATATTTGAACAGAAACTAGCTCGCCTCTGAATTGTAGGCATAAAATACTTGGGATTGATTTTTACGTATTTGATAGTGTAATGGCAATGATTTTTCTTTGACGTTGATTGATATTTAAAAAAACATTGTCAAATCGCGCACAAATTTAATTCAACGTGAATATTATTTAGTTTTGGGTAGTTAGCAAGCCTAAAAGGTGGGTAATATTTCCAAGTGTGTGTGCATTTAGGGTTGTAAAACTGATAAAAAGCGAAGAAACTAGCATTTAGAATAAATAAAAATAAGAATTTTCAAAGGACCTAACGTTATTAAAATATTAATACAGAAGAGATGTTTTAACACATAATAATTACAAAATTATGTATATTTTATATAAATGTGTGCTCGGATGGATCTACCGATTGATTAACAGTACATTGAAAATAATTTATTCTTAAGTAAGTATTTATTCTTCTTAGAATTTATTTTATAGACAGTACCAAATGTGTACTTCTGTTTTAATTTGTTACTTGCATATATGACCATATACTGGGATTGATCACAGGTAGTTTGTTTTGTTTCACAAATTTGTAATTTAGGTTAGGTTGGCTTCATAGGATAAGATTCCTGTTTCTTTTATTTTTGATTAAGTACTGTGACTAATAGTATTGGAGCCACCTATTAGGCTGGTTTTTAAATCCCTTTATATGTCATTACAGATTATTTCCGATGTTCCAGGAATTACAAAGCCAAATAAAACATTTTTATAAAATATATTGTTAAAAGTTACACAAGGACATAAAAATACTTTATAAAAATGGACGGATACCCGCAGTCTTAACAATGTCTGTTATATTATATACCACTTTGCATAGATTAATGGTACCTAAATATAATTAAACAAAGCAAAAGCAAACCCACTGATAAAACATTTGTATTACTGGAATTACATTCATCTTCTGAACAGTAACATTCTTCCCAATAAATCCCATTTTCGTACACACCCCAGTTACATACTCCTGTAACTCCAGTGTCAGCAACTGAAGCACAGCGTCTTATTACTTGTCTCCACCGCCCATTCCCTGAAACACAAAATCATTTACTTTGCATCCGGTTGTAATTATTTGTCTAGACTGAATGTTGAAATTGATAAAGATGAAATAAGTGATCACGCAAACTGTTACTTACAAATAAACCCCTTAGGGCTCTGTTGTGTGACCTTCATGCAAAATGAACCAGGCATGTGGCTCTCCTCACTATTGCACTCAACTGCAATGTGACTCCATTTATCGAATTTCCTATAAGCTCCGCAATTGTCTTCGCCTTTTTTATCTTCTGCAGAACTACACTGGTAACATCTAACGGCTTCACCTAGCAAATAATAACAGCTCCTTCACAAATTCACATATTGGGTGGGGCACTAGAATGATTAACAAAGGCTCTACTTACTTTCATGTACAAATAACATCATCAAAACCGGAAGATGCAGAATAAGTTTGCAACTAAACTCCATCATGAAAAATGTTCAAATTTTTGGAGAGTTGATTGTTTGATGTTGACAAAATAAGTAATGGCATGAGAGCCATATAATCAAAACAAATTTATGTCACAGAACACCATTTATTTTGTTTACCAAATGTTCTGTGGTTTAGTTTGAAAATGCATGCTTCTTTTTTTTGTAATCTGCGGTTCTTTTTCCTTCCTTTTCCACACACAAAATGTTGAAGGTCGCAAGTCAATACGACCGTTTACCTATTGTCGACGTCCGTTCATTAATCTTTATATATAACTATTAACTATTATAACTTTTAAATTTTTACACTTCCTAGTATTTATATCTGATTGCTCTGGTCTTCTGTCAATCTCAATTCGTGAGAAGATTTATTTCGGCAAGAAATCAAGCTTCATGTTAATTGTCCAGGAATATAAAGTAATAAACCACAATTTCCATGCTAATGTTGATTCATGAATAATAACAGCGTCCAAATAGGTCCTACAGCAGATACATTTCAAGTCACGCAAGACTAATTGATACGAAATTATGTGCTAGCTGCAAAATTTCATCAGCGGAGGTACTAGTAAATAAGTAAGTAAGTAAGAGGTAAATAAATAAGTTTTGTCGATCGTTTCATCAAAATTTACTTTACTTGCTTGATTCTGTGGTGGAGCATTGCAAGCGGCGGCTTAACCTCCGCTCGCTCCTAACAGAAGCCATTGTTTTCGTCCCAAAAACTTTGATATCGGTATTTTTTCGTGTGATTGTGTTTCGGAAGTGTCTGGTGATCGTTTTTAGGTGTTTCAGTTCTGCCGGCTCTGCTGTTTTGATCGTTCACACCGGTATAGTCCGAGGTAGAAACAAGGGATGTCGGTTTTTTGGTATCCGTCAAAATCGTTTTTTGCTAGCTGAGCAAATTTTGGTTATATGTCTCCTTCGTACGTATTGGTCATTGACCAAAAGCGAAAATCCTCGAGGGAAGTCGGTAATGGGCAAATGATCCTAGCAGTCTAGCCTACCAGTTATTGTGTAACGTATTGTCCTACTACTACTACTTTCCTTGTACGTGCCCAACAGTTTTCTGTGAATCGCATCATTGAATTGAATTGAACTTTCCTTGCTTTTGTTAATTGACTCTTTGCCAAGCATCGTATTCTGTGCTCTGTGGTGTTGCTGTTTACCATTTTTGGGTTTGGTTCATGTTTGGTTATGATTTTATCGTTTATAAATTTGTAAAAATATTGTTTTATTTTATTTCCACTCACAAATATTTTTTATTGGGAAATGGGATGCCTTACTCCCTTCATAACTTCAGCTTTAGTTTTACTTTTTGTACAGTTCAGTAAGTAATTGAGTCATGCATTTATATTTTCTCTATTAACATCTTTTTTAGCTCTGGCCATTAAGTGTTGGGAGTGCAGATCGGACGCAGACTCAAAATGTGCTGACCCTTTCGATAATACAACTTTCGCCATTACAGATTGTTCTCAGGCGAAACCAATAAATTATATTTTCGATGAGACTGACTTTAAAACTCAGAGGTCAACAATGTGTCGTAAGATTCGTCAAAAAGGTATGCAGAATACAATTACCCTGTTCCCTGGTAAATTACCGACTGCTTTCATTTTAGTAAATGGAGTATGGAAGTACTTTAGGGGCTGTGCGTTTCTTGGTGAAATAGGGATTAAGGGTGACGAGAGGTTCTGCCTTATGAGAACTGGAACATACAATATTTTTATGGAATATTGCACATGCAATAGTAAAGATGGGTGCAACACTTCCTCACATGTTGATGTATCTTTATTGCTAATTTCGTCTTCAATTCTGTGGGTATTCTTTTTATTCAGCATCTTAAGATAATATTTGTGATATATACGTCAACTATAAACAGAAAAAGAGTTTTTAATTATAGAGTACAAAATTCTCATTATATGTAGAATATTGTTATGTTGTATTAACTTTAATTGACTGAATGTTTTATATTGATGCTTATATTGCTTGAAAAGTCCGTCCATTTTTATAATTTTTTTTTTTAATATATGTTTGTATTATAGCAATTTTTGTTTACTTCTTCCATAGGCAGATTCTCTGAACAAAAACAGGAATAACAAAAATACTATTTACTCTGAAGAGTGGATAACATAGTTTGTACTAACTTCTAAACACTTAATTTTATGGTTAGTATTACAATTATTACTGAATAAATTCAATGAAATCTAATCCCAAAATGACCTTAACTTTAAGGATATGAAATTTCTTCTCATAATACAGTAAGTACAGGGTATTTTTGCAAACATTCTGAAACAAAATTTATCTGGAAATCAATATTAAATCTAAATATTTACAGCTATAACAAAATCACAAAAGTGTATGAACACAGTGTCGCTCTATACATGAAAAATTTATTATTTCCGAGATTCTTTGAAGTTTTTTAAAATCATTTCGCAAAAGTTAACAAACCCTAATTAAATAAAATAACTACGAAATAACCAGATCAATGTTACTGGTAGAAAACTGGCCAGAATTATATTGATTTTAAGCGATCCGGCAGAATTGCAACCATCCCAGTCACAGTATTCGCAGAAGTCCAAAGAGATGCCCCTTGATACGGGATCATAGCAGGTCCCAATATCTTTCTCAAATGGAATCATATCACACCGGCGGATGTAAGTCAAAAGATCACTTCCAACTGTAAAAGAAATGAATATAACTTTTTTTTTAATACTTTTAGCGTGAAATATTCGGTTTTTTTAATGTCATTATCGAGCGGAACCTTTTTCGAAAAATAGAGGTAAAAAGCATAATTCAAAAATATTTGCTTTTCTGAATGGATATTTGTTTTGATGTAGAGATAGTAGGAATGGTCTTATTTTCTCTGTAAAACTAATTCTATTTTTATTGCTTATATGTATCCAGTCGTCCAGTGAGTGACTAAACACGCTATCAAATACCATTTATTTCAAAAATCAAAGCCCATCAAAGACACTTTCTATATTATTTTAGATTTATGGATTAAATAGGATAAATAATTCTTTAAATTAAAAATACAAATGCTATTCAAAACTGCACAAATTCAATTTGGCGTCCATAATGTGGATGATGGTTTAAGAAAAAGGAAACGCTGTGCGGGATTTTTCTCTCTCGATTAAGAAACTTCTGTAACGACCTATTATCGACTTCATTGGTACACAACCTCATCCTCATTTGAGCTACGCTGATATTCTTATTGCCATTCCCTGTATAGGAAAACCTGTACATTCTGGCAGAAAGTTGGCGTAATGTTTTAAAGCATAAAAAAATATAGGAAAACTATTGTGGACATCTTTGTTTATTGTGGAAACTTTGTTTCTTTGGGAATCATAGTCAATAGAATCTACACACATGTAATAATTTAATATAATTAGTAATTAATCGTTATTATAACGGAAATATACTTTAACATGTATGTCAGTTTGATTCTAGAACCATGTGTTTTAGCTACAAAGCTTCGAAAACAAACATCTATGCATCCACATGCCTACGGGATTGGTAAACGATATTTTTTGGACTGCCAAAATCTAGGTATTTTTAATTTAATTTTTTACAATATATAAATAAAATCATTTTTCAAAAACTTTAAAAACCATTAGATATATTTAGATTAAATTAGAATGTATATTTTTTCATTTCATTTCATTCATTTTACATTTTGTTACAATATTTCTTTCGGTTCAGTTGAATACAAGTACTTCTTTAACGTAATTTTTTGGGTCATCGGCTACAAACCTCTCACTTTCACTTTACTATTATTGTCCATCTAATTAATACTACCTACTACCATTTTATGATGCTGCACAAACATTGGGTCAAATGCACAGAGTCGTAATTTAAACTTCGATACTTGCGACTCATACTATATAAAGTGAAGTTCAGATTCATAATTTTTGTTAACAATTCGCTAAAATCCTCTCGAGTTTAAGAAAAAGAAGAGGAACCTTTGTTACTGTGACAAAATGATTTACTATTTTAATTACTATCTTCTTTTCTAATATAAGTTTGTTATGAATCCGCAATGCCTAATTTCATAACGACAAAAATTTTGACTAATTTTTTATATATTTTTTTAATTCCGGTTTAGGCTCCATGATTGTATGGCAAAACCATTATATTTATCTACAGTACGTTAGACAGGGAAGGAACTCCTCAACTTGAACTTGAAACAAATCAGTTTAATGAAATTACTTTTTTTTTTATTACACCTCTATTTCATAATTCAGGAAGCAAAAAACATTTATTTAATGCTAACAAATTTTCAGCTCATAGTTTGTCAAGATATTTTTCCGTTGTTAAGGTTTTTGTAACAAAATTACCTATCTTCTTGTTAAAACAATAACATAAAAAACACGTATGTGATAGCATAGGAGTTTCTGACGTTCTGACTGACCATAAAGCATTTCAAAATTTTGTAAAAATATGTACCTATCTAATAGACATTCACACTAAACAAGACTAAATAACTTACTCCTTTGAACCTTCTTGATACACACTGTCCTCATCCTTGCCAATCGCGCCTCGTCATCATTACAAGTAATCAGTCTCGGTCCCGGATTGTTACCGCTCAGTTGCGGGCTAAATCTGGGTCGATTCGCATTTGGGTTCTGGTAGTCCCTGGGGTAATTCGGATCGTAATTCCTTTGGTCATAATTCCTCTGCTGATCGTAGTTTCTTTGCTGATCGTAGTTACGATCGTAATTCCTGTCATAGTTTCTTTGGTCATAATTCCTCTGGTCGTTATAATTTCTGTTGTAACCCTGTTGGTTATTCGAGTAGGCCCCGGGGTTGTAGCCTTGATTGTACGCGCCTGGTTGTTGATAATAGTTGCCGCCGCCGTACCTCAAAATGTCCGATGCGTTGAAGATATCTGCGCAGTTCCTATCGATGTCGCTTGAACACGACCAGCATTGTAAGGTCTGACCTGTAATTAATAATGCGACGTAATAAGCATTTTCTGGAGAAAAAGTATATTTTACATTCTAATAATGAAGTACCTAATCCGACTGAAACTTAGGTGTAGGAAAAAAAATTGTATCTATATTTGTACTGTACGTAAAAAAGATAATGCTGATCTACAGATGATTAAACAATATTCATAATGAGAGTTTAGCTACAACAGAAAATTTTAACATACAATAAGTATTTATGAAGTTATAATAACGATATGCTAAAATAATAAAAATAATATTTTAAAACCGCCTTCAGAAAAACTTTAAAGGTTTGAAAACATTTCCCAATATAAACTTGCATGCACGTAATTAGTATGCAAACAAATATCGCTTTTTTACGCAAGAGAGCCACCAAAAACGAGCTTTCTCGAGCCATGGTGTCAATGCACAAGTCCTGACCTGAACGACACCCATTTAAACCTCGCAGAGGTATGCCTGTTGGACACAAACAGCGATTTAACAACTCTCACCTTGAATTCTTGCATGGTTGCATAACATTTGTTTGTTATTGTTTTTAATATGTGTGTTTCTGAAATCCTTTTGCCAGATCAAGAATTATGATCGTTTTCGAAGCCTGCGCTTTTGAGTTTTCCTTAAGAATCGCCTATGTAAGGTTTGTCATTTTTTAATAAAATTTAATTGTGTGCAGCTTCACATTGTTTATTATTTGTTTTGCGTCGTGTCCTATTTGTTGTTGAACACTTTTTTTAATTCTACAGTAGATGCATGACTTAAAGAATAATCTAAAAATTTTAAAACGAGTTGGATCTCTTATGTGATCTTATAACAAAAACAACAAATCCTTTAAAATCGTTTAAATCGTTTAAAAAATATATATTTTTATATTTTTTTGTTAAAAATATTATTTCTTTGACATTTTTTAGTAAAACACTCTAAATTTTTGCGAGATTATTGTCATAATATTTTAATAATAATATTAATTATTATACTGTATTGCATCACAATCATAAAAGAGGGTTCAATACTTATGTGTCCATATCGCTAGTTTTTTTATTTGGAATTTTTAATTGGAGTGTCTTTTGGGAAATAAAATAATAAAATTCACAATATATACTTAATGTCAATACCATAATTATTTTTGTTTGAACAAATCCCAGTATTCGGTATCAAATTCACTGCCGCATAAAAAAGCAACAGCGCCAAGAATTATAATAAGCTATCCTATTTATTTGCAGGTAGAAAGAAATTTCTCAGGCTGAGTATTCATTTTAATTTAATTATCCTTCAAATTATAGTAGGTCGGACAATAATAATGACTACTCGCTGGTCCTTGACACTATGACTAATAAGCATCGTTTAACATCATTCGCTTTTTAATACAAACTTGAATAAAATAAATAAAAACGATTTCTGTTATTTAAAAAGTATCGTTAAAATGGCTGATCTGCAATAATGCGAAATTCTCATACAGAAACTAACGTAATTAGCGCAAAAATCTTAAAAAAATATCTTAATTTTTTTTCGCGATTGGTCATGAACATTTGAATAAAATAACCTTGAAAATAATTAATGCGCCTTATACATAAACTATGCAAAACCATTAGAAAAATGTAAAGAAATTGATTTTTTGATTGTTTACAATACCGTGTCGGATCTCAATAAACATTGACCTCCTGTTTCAGCCTCCTGGAGAATAAATCTTAAAAACACGAACATTTTAAATAATAAACAGAAATCGATTAAAATAAAAAACAAAACCGTTTAGTTTATTGTTCATTTAATACCATTCCTCGCAAAATTATTCCGGCAAATGGTATAGACCTACAGAAATAACTTCTTTGTGTGACAGAATTTAAACTATAAGCTTTTGTAGGTCGGCACAATGACGTAATGTTTACGGCAAAAATTTAAACGGTGGAAGACCTTTCAGATAAGGTACGCTCGGCCAGCAAATAGGTCAAATGGTACTCGAAGATAAATATGGTAACTTGATTATAGGTACAGTTTGTATATACTATTTAATAAGTACATACTTTTTTTTGTAAGGCTGGACTAACATTTGTCTGTTAGAAGCCTTTATGAGCATATAAAAACTTTTTTTTGCGGAAATGTATCGTCTCCATTTTCCGGGCTTTTACATAAAAACTGATATTTGCATTGAATTCTGAGTTGGTTTACGTTTGTTTTAGTTTTAATAATGACAATGATTAATGATTTGGGTGAGTCTATGTCTGGAAAATGAAAATCTCTTTATATTTGTAAAAGCTTCTAAACGCAAAAATATTTTTTTATATAACTGATTTCGGTTAGGCGAAAGTAGATTTGGTATTGAGAATGAACAATATTATCTTTCATGGAGGTCATAGGTATCTTAAAATCGTCATGTTGTAAAACATATATAGATATTCCGTGAAAACCTTATAGACAGCTTATAAGTTACACTACAAATAGCTAAAAATATTGTTAATTTTGGTCAATAATCTGTTATCTAAAACCAATTACACAGAATAGAATTTTGAGTACACAGAAGAGAAATTAATGAAATAAATAAATTTATCCTGTTAAAAAACATATGTTAGAGAAAGACATTATAAGTACATTAAATTCCACGAATGTCACATTAGGAACGATTTAAACATATTTTATAAATGCCCATTTACGATATCTTAAAGGAGGTCTTGAAGAAAAGGTTTTTAAGATCTCTATTGTTGTGCTGCAAGCGTTCAGTCATCAAGATCTAAAATAGATGACTTAAAGACATTATGCGATATCATAGTTGTACAACACTATTTCCTACATTTGTGGCTCAGTTAAATCAATACCTAAAAAGTATTGGTTGGATTGGATTTAGACTCTTAAACGGTATGCTTTTGTATAGCTCCTTATCGCATTCTATTTTCAAATGCAATTCAGCTCCGCGCCAATGCCAACCTTATCATAAGTTTATAGTGAAACATATTTCTTTACGTATCGGCTTCAATAACTTTAAACCGCGCGATTGTTTTACGAAATATTCCAAATGCATAAATTCATTCCGCGCTACAGAGCAAACCAATAACAAACGTGGCGTCACGTGACATAAGGTGGAGATTTAAACGCGCGCACAAACAACTTTCCGTCGCGAAACTTAAATATACCAAATACTTAAACAAATAAGTGTCCACATGCGCTCACCTCCACGTAGATAATTGACCAATATGAGAAACACAGCACTGAACACTGCTTTTGGCATTTTGTCTTCAACGGAACCAATTAATAATCCAAAATCTTTCAATTATTTAACACGCCTAAATGCGTAATTTCGATGCCGTCAACTTTTGATACCAACCGTGATACAGAAAAAGAGAGAATGATTATGGAAGGTTTTTGGTGAGACCGCCGCCGATCGAATCTGCGATGGTAGCAGGTACGACCGCGCGCCCCTCCTACGCCGTTTTTCCGCACGTATTGAGCGTTGTTTATTAACAACGATTGTATATTATATAGTGTGTTAGCAAATGTCCATATCCCTAGTGTTAGCTGATGATTTTATTGAAGCAAATACCTTCCAACTCTAAAATACCCAATGATGTGCATTGATCAGGCGTATTGAAAGTGTCACGTTAACACGTTAGCTTTTTGTCACGAGTCACTTCGGGCCTTTCCGGTACTTTAGTCACGGGTCGATAAGGATCTGATACTTCCGGTAGGTTCAGAACACTGACGGTACTTATGAAACCACTGGCTAGTAAGGCTATAATTTCCGCTTTTGGTCGGTTTTAAATTGCAAGAAATTAAGTCTAGTGCTTCTTACAATAAATTTCAAGAATTTGTGAAGCCTCACTTAATTAGAAACTTCAACATATCTATATCTATATCTATAAGAGATGTTCTGTTTATGAAACCTTACCATCAAAAATACAATCAATTTAATATTTTCCAAAACCTAATTACTAAATAACTAACCTCCTTTTTGATGTAGGAGACAGAAACAGTATATTATGCAACAAGTGCGGTAAACTGCATTTGACTCCCGAGTTTATTTGACTCGAGCGGAGCGAGTTTTTAATAAAGGACTGACTTAAAAAGTTTACAGTACGTGTTGGATACTATACTTTTTCTACGACCGTTAGTTTTTGGGCACATTTTCTCAAAACAACACGAATACATTCACTGACATGACTGTCAGAATTAACAAACGTCAAAATTCAAAGTGTGGGAAATATCTCCGAAAACATCCGATTGCTCACAAACATGTGCGGTAAAATCCCGGAAATGTCCGAAGTGGCTCGGATTCGTGGGAACGACACTGACGTGGTAAAGTGACGCTTCCCGCACGCTAGGTCGGTGCGTAATTAGGTATTTTACAGACGGGAGAAGAAAAATTTATTTTAATATCATCTGCTATTTTAATTTACTCAAGCTTCGCAGCCTTTTTCACATCGGCTCATTGATAGTTCATCTGCCATGGACAATTCATAAATTGTTGACAGTAATACTCGCAAGGACTGAAATGTTTAATGCACTCGTGATACCATTACGGAAACTCTGCTTCCATTCGAATTTTCTCAGAAACCAGAACCACACCTACATAAAAAACGTTTGAACCAAAAGAGTTGAACTATTAGATGTTTTAGTTTCCTCAGTAGTTGAATATTGATTTAAACAACTTGTAAAATTCAAAATTCATACTTGCGATTCCATAAATATCATATTGTTGAGCATTTAAAGAGTGAAATTGGTTGAATCTCGATAACAGACTTGATTAGTAGAAAAAGTGAATAAAAAGCACTCTGTAGCTCGGTACATGGATACCCTAATAGTAAAAGCAACATCCTAAGATATCTAAAGACACAAGCTCTGCATTGTTAGTATAAGCTAAAATAGCTCAGAAGTTATAAAAACTTATTAGGTCGTATTATTTTATTTTTATGACCTATTTCTATTTTTATTTGACGGTATTTCTATTATATTTAATGTATTTTATTTTCAATTTACATCATGTTCGTTTAATTAAATCTCCCATTAATGTTTTAACGGGGGGATCATATGTAAGAGCGCATTTTTAGAAATGCGTATGCAATTTGTATATTTCTTATATAAAGGCATTTATAATTATTTTATGAATGCGTATAAATGCTTATAAATTACATTTGTTTTGAGTTTGTTTGACTAGGTTTTTGTTCTTATTGTAAACAAGAACAAAAAGATAGGAAGGAATTATGTGATTAAATCCCTCCTTATATTTTGCAGAATCTCTTGTTCCTTTGCTTTTGATGAAATGCTTGATGACCATTTCCTGCTAATCTTCCTTACGAAGAAGCAAATACACATACAAAAACAATATTTACAACATATTGCAAAAAGTAACCGAGAGGCAGTCCCTAAATCTTACCTAACTTACAAACTAAAAAAGCATACTTGTTGAAATGTCAAAGCTCAGCGAGCTACTTATATATATTCCCATACCTCTCCCCATAAACCTTTTGTCAATAATCGCCAGTCGATCTTTTCGTGTTAGTGTGTAGCCTGGCCTTTGGACAGATAAATTAGTTATCCTGTGACTCAGAAAAGTCTCTGACATACAACATATGTCAAACTGTTCTGCTAATAAAATTTTTCTACTCCTGTCTATAAAATACCTAATTACACACCGATTTAGCGTGTGGGAAGCATCAGTTTACCACGTCAGTTTCGTTTCCCACGAATCCGAGGCACTTCGAACATTTCCGCGAATTTACCGCACGGGGTTTGGGAGCAATCGGATGTTTTCGGATATATTTCCCACGCCTTGAATTTTGACGTTTTTCAATTCTGACGGTCATGTCACTGAATGTATTGGTGTTGTTTTGCGAAAATGTACCCAACAACTAATGGTCGTAGGAAACGATAGTATGCAACACGTTTGGTAAACTTTTTTAGTCACTCGTCTATTAAACACTCGCTCCTCTGCGCTCCGCTCGGGTCAAATAAACTCGTGACTCAAATGCCGTTTACCACACTTGTTGCATAATATACTATTGTTTGATATCTAAAAAATGAGCTACGAGACAGCTGTCATTGAAAAATGCAACTGACAATTTTTTTCATTTTTGTGCACCAGAATGAGACTAAAATATTTTCAAAATATTTAAATATTTTGGACTAGTTTCAATATTGATAAAAATTAAAATAAATACAAATCCTATCGCTACTGAAATAATAACAAATAATTGAAACAAAGACTAGGCTAGCAATGTAGGGTCAACAGTGAAGTAAAGAAAAAATGAACAAAAAATCGTTTAATTTTTCCAGACCAGACGAGTTTCGTAGTAGCGTAGTAGTGGAGCGCAGCGGAGCGAGCTTTTAATAAACGAGTGAGTTAAAACGTTTACCGTACGTGTTGCATACTATACTTTTTCTACGACCGTTAGTTTTTGGGTACAATTTGGCAAAACAACACGAATACATTCACTGACATGACCGTCAGAATTGACAAACGTCAAAATTCAAAGCGTGGGAAATATTTCCGGAAACATCCGATCGCTCCCAGATCTGTGCGGTAAAATCCCGGAAATGTCCGAAATGACTCGCATTCGTGGGAAACGAAACTGATGTTGTAAAGTGAGGCTTTCCGCACGCTAGATCGGTGGGTAATTAGGTATTTTACAGACGGGAGTAGAAAAATTTATTGGGGGCACTATCTTTCGAACTTCCTGGACTGGTAGGAGCAATCTATGGTTTCTTTGATGGCAAATCTTGTAGAACTGAGTCCTTTCCTTGAGCACGTCCGCCTGAGATAAATTACAGAACACTTTTTGGGTTCCGCTACCGGTACTCTATAAGTTTCACAGTTTGCTTTTGGGCTAAAAACTTTCAACGAGTGCTTCAATAAATCAGCATCGAAAGAAGAGTAAAAGGTGGTAAGGCGTAGTCCAATCGTTAGTAATGATTGCTTGAAATTTGCTCGGGTTAAACAAAGACCGATCGTTCTCGATTCATTTATCTGTCGTTTGGTTCCCGTAAACGTGAGTCACTTTGAATTAATCATTGAAACATGAATTTGCGCGGCCACATACTTTTATTAATTATTATTCATTCTATTTCCCTTGAGTGTGCGATAAAGAGTGGTAGGTTTTGCGCAATTCTTAGTAAACGCAAATCCTTTATCTACGTGACATAACGTTCCTTTACGAATACATACCTAGCCTGTAGTGATGGCGGGCGAGGGACAATATCTAATTTTTAAAGAAGCAGGAAACCGCTACTAATCTTAATGGGAAATAAATGGTTTGATAAAAATTTCGTCATCGTTTTACCTTTTCAGAGGCTAACGAAATTAAATGTTTTAATTTGCCGTACAGGCGACATAAATGGAATTGTTTTCGTCGTGTGTAAATTGCAGGATCAAACCATTTTTATACGTCGACTGACATTGAAAATCGTATGTGCTGTTTAAAAATATTATGTACATAGTCGAGTTACTTGTTTATAAGTAATTCCTTATACGTCACTAATTACACTATACCATGCCGTGCAGGAAGTCTATAAAGCGGTTAATTTCGCCATGTCCAATTATAAGATATTTTGTCCCATTGTTTAATTCTAATTATTTTTCTACTGTGCCTGGCTTTAGAATTGTTTGGCAGCCTTTACATTGAATTACACACTTCTAAAATTCCCAATGGTGATGGTGTTTCTCGCACTTCAAAAAATTTAGATAAAAAAACTTTATAGTTGGCACCCCAAAGCTCTACAATACAACTTGGTTCATTGGTAATTAAATTGAAAGCTTTTTTGATATTTCCGTTGACGCTTCACTGATATTTTTGAGAAATATTAAAGGTTTCGTTGGAAAAAATGGAAATAAATTGTTTTCATTTTTTTTTTCATTTGCGTAAATTCGCAAAAATATCCGATATAATTAATAAGTACGCAATCTACTCATTGACATCAAAATAAATGTGGAGCTTTATATTTAACTTCAAATACGTAGAAAAATAATAAATTGTACTGTTATACTTGCGCAGAGGTCCGCCCTCTGCGCAAGTACAATCTGGACGAGTATAGGAGATACAAAAAAAAGTTTCCTACAAAATTTTTTGGGAGTATCCTGACGATTTAAAAGTGTCCCCTCCTATATCAACTTTGTTATTTTAAAAAAAGGTCAGAAATTAAGGTTGTGTGCTTTTTGTTGTGTTGCAACGCTGCTGATCCAGGAATTGCAACGAAAATTTAACCACAAACTAAGTGCTCTACCCAACCAGTTTGACAGATGCGCCGCAGCTTATACAGGGTGTTCCAAATAGGTCGTGCCGTTTTGGCGAATTCAATTAACAAAATGACAAGATTTTCATACACCCCTATATAACAATACAGATTTTATTAAACTTCACTCTAAAAAAACATTTAATTGTTAATTATCTAACTTGATTTAAAATACCAAATAACAAAAATGATTAATTAAAGTTCATAGGCTAACAAACCAATTTGAATAAATAAATGTATAAAAAAAAGTTAACTAACAAGGGTTCGCTAATTCGGTCCATAAAGTTTAGTTCCTCATAAAATGCTCGTTTCATCTACCATTAAAATAATAAAGAAATATCAAAAAATTTGAGAACGTAGTTTTATATTAATTATGGTATAAAAAAACTTTGACATTTCTGTTTGTTTTTGTTTTTTTTTCATATGTCTCTTTAAATAGTTCATAGTTGTCAAATTGTTTGTTGCTATATATATCTAGAGTATTATCCCTTGAAAAGAAGTAGTATCGTGTGTTTGATATTTAAAAAATCCCTAATATTACCAACAAGTGACCTAATGTGGGCAGCTATAAATACAACAAGAATTTATGCGGCTGTGCTCTTAAACCTCGAGTATCTCAAAAAGTAAGTAAAATTGAAATATAAGATAAATTACAAACTTACCTTGTTTTTTGTCGTAGAATTGATATCTGAATATGAAAATCTTGTGGTTTTGTTAATTAAATTCGCCAAAACGGCACCACCTATGTGATACACCCTGTACAAGCTGAGGCGCATCTGTCAAACTGATCATCATCTCCTTAGTCTCTGGTAAAATTTTTGTTGCAATACCTGCGTCAGTAGCGTCACAAGACAATTTTATATCAAAATATGAAAAAAAAAACACATAACATCAATTTCTGCCTAAACTATGCAAAATTGGAATAGGAATTTCTTACTTAGAAACTCTTACTTTACTTTCACCAAGGATTCCGAAAATGTAGATATATATATATACAAGGTGTTCTATTTAAAACAACAAAGTTGATGCCTGAGGGGACATTTTTGGGACACCCTGTATCAACAAAATTATAATATTTTAAATCTTCAGGAGAGTCCAAGAAACTTTTGTACCAAACTTTTTTTCGTATCTCCTATGGGTTTCCAGATCGTATAGTGGGTCGTCTTACTTGGCACACGGTGTACATATATCCTAAAAAAAGGAACTCAGGATTCTATAGTTCATATGTTTCCAATTATTAAATAGTCGTCGTGTACATATCTTCGACTTCAACGAAAATTGCTCATCATAACAAACCAAATTCGTAATTATTTGCTGTAAATTAAAAGGACAAAAAAAAAACAAAATTGACCAAACATTGAATTTCTATTTTAAAAATTATCGAACAACTAGTCCGATTTAATAGAAACACAGCAGAAAGATTGTTTTCTTCTCTTAGAGGTCGTGAACTCGTTCTTTTTTAGTTGCTGAGTTCAAGTACATAAAACAACTACCTAATATTATAAAAAAAAACAATATGGAGACCTCAGACACAGAAGCAATTGTGATATTTCGTCGTTTTGTTAAGTGTTTTAGAAAGTTAAGATAATTTATGTTATTAGGGTACATTTTTAGTGTAGGAAAGGTTAGTTTTTCAGATTTTGAACTAGTTAAGACGATTTACAACCTAGAGCTATCAAATCTCAAGTCGATTAAAAATGAAATCTCAACTTTAAACGCCTTTAATTATTTTGAACAGGTAAGTTATAAGAAAATATTTGAAAAAAAAAACAAAATTTACATACAGGAACATTAGGAGAACCCATTACGGTCGTCACTTAAACAGATTTCTTGTGATATTGCATTACAAACCTTTGACTTTCGCTTCCCTGTGAGAAACGTTTTATGAATAAATATAAGATATACTTACATTAGATTTATTGACTGATTGAAAATCCATACAAAGATTTAGTTAGTACCTATTGTTTGGTCTTATTTAAAATTTAAAAAAAAAACGACTTTGTGGAGTGCGGACGTTTTTTAGAACAGCAACTCGATTTTTATATTCTCCAGTGGACTTCTCGACTAAGAAATGCAACAATTTTTTGGACAAATAACAGCGCTATTAATAAAACGTGGTAATTGTCGCTATTTTAAATACCGAACACGAAATTCAATTACTTTTAATGACATCTTACACGCAATCCAAAACGACCAGGAAATAAGGAATAAACCCGCCAGGCCTGGATTCGCCATTTTTGTTTCTATTTTGTGTAGCCTCTTTTTTCTTATTCTTTTAGTACTGTTATTGTTTGTACCTGTAAACTGGACTGCTCTCTAAATGGGATACTGTTGGGCTACGAACGCTGTTGTTATTAGTATTACTTAAATAATGAAAAAAAAAAACAAAATAGAAATAGTTTGGAAGGAATAAAAAGAAAAAATAAATGTTGTGAGCTACTCTACTGAAAACAAAATGAACGCAAAACGTGCATTAGTTGATCTGCTACAATTGCAATAATTTTATAGAGCCTAAATTAACAAAATTTACCGAAGCAAAACAAAAGAAAGAATGCGTTTTAAAGGAGATTCTCAAACTGATTGCCACTTTCATCATTTAAACTGATAATTGGCCTTTCATGAAATTCTTATCAGATTCAGTTCATTATTTATTTATTATTATTTATTTATTATTATAATATTATTACTATATTTAGACGTTTTCTTTTTTCAGATTCCTATCGTGGTTTGTATATGTACGGGCAACCGTACAAATTTTTCAATTAGTGATAATTTAAGAATGAAGTAAATTATTGACAATAGGAGGTTCTTTTTTAAAATTACTGTAACTAACTATATAATACAAAAATAAAGTTTCTTCCTATTATTTTTTGCACTGACCTCGTATATTTATTCAGAGGGCAGTACGACAGTAGCTTTTCGATGGGCTAACGAATACAAAAGAAAACGAAATGGGCTATGAAATTACATTTTTCGTTTCACGAAAAGTTAGTAGTTTGGTATTACACAATGGCCAGCTGGATAAAATTTTGGGATGGTGGAATGACTCACCATTTAAGATCAATTAACACCTAGCACCTAGTGAGACAATGTTGACTTTTAAACCCAATTTCGTAATTTAATAAAAATCAAATAAAAGTCGCCGTAGCCCTTATAATAACGCAACCGTTGTTGTGCCCATATGTCTGGCTATTTAAAAGGAAAAATTATATTTGGGTATGCGGGTATCGACAAAAGTCGTCCGAGTTAATATTTAATCGGTAAGAGGTACAATGAAAACATTTATTTGGTAATATCGGTACAATAAATAATTTACTGTCATGTATGACTAATAAAACGTAAAGGGGATCTTCTATTTACAGTCATTTAACAATATATAAAAATTCCATAATTCAAAACGATAAGTAACAAGCAATTCAATTGATGAAGGTGCGCTAGTTCGTTAATATACAATTAATTACGTAATTAATTGCTTATAACATGCTTCATTGCCAAAAATAAAAATTGGTGATCCTAATCTTCACGTATGTACAAAATAATACCTATTGAAATTTGTGTGTATTTTGTTCAGATTCACTTTACAAAAAGCACACATTTAAAACCAACCTATTTTTTATAGAAAAGAATCTTATAAGTTATAAATTAACGAGAAAAAATATATACAGCGATTAATGGTAATTGCTCGACTTTTTATTTTACAATTAATTTGGACCATCTTAAACGAACAATGTTCTTCGTACAATTCCCAAGTGTCTTCAGAAATGCTTTGGCATAACTATTATTACATTAAAACAAAATAAAACAATAAAACAAAATTAGATTAGGTGATTAGAGGCACATTCCCAAGTGTAATGTTTTGATTTTTTATGTGTTATTCATGTCTGCAATAATCATAATCACCACAATCCGTACAATATCATCAGAGTCCAACTTTAATTGTGTACTCGGGAACTTTCGCTGGTTTGTTTCGCATTGGCGATACATTTAACAGGTACGATTAAGTCGAACGGACCCCTAACCCCTCAATAACAAAAGCAAGGAAGGTATTAACAACGCTACAATAATTTGCGACATGGAAGCAGAATTACATCCGTCGTATTCGCAACTTCCGCAATACTCCAAGTTTTGATTCACTCCGGGATAGGCGAGGTCCTCGGGACAAGCGCCGGTCTTAAGATTAATATTAACCATCCTGCATTCTCTTATTACTTGCTTGAGACCATGCGTAGCTAAAACGCAAGCATTAGCAACTGGAAATGGAATACCAGAATTGAAGACTTACCCGTAGTCACCCTCTTCACGCAAACATTTTTCACTTGCCCGAAAGTCGTAGAGGTGTGCATTCCTTCGCAAGTGGTGAGGTGGGGAGTTGTCGTAGATGTTTGTTGGTTGCCATATACGTAACTGTTGATGAATCGTTGGTTTTGAAGGATCCTAGTGACGTTGAAGTGATCACGGCAGGTCGCGTCTTGATCAGATGAGCATTTCCAGCACTGTAGGCCGAAAGCTGTAGAACAATGAAAAACAATTAAAAATGCTCAACGAAAATAATGACAGTTTATGACAAAACCAAATTGATGTTGACTTTGCAAGCAGGTTCGCAGTATTTCGATTTTTAAGACGACGTACACTTGTAAAAACTTCAATTTTTCAGTCACTACAATTTTATAACTTTTCAGATATTGCAATATTTATTTTATTGAATATAAACTATATTTAAACTATTTACTTAGAAGTTATATTTTACGTTATAGTATATAGTTGTTGATATATGGTGGATGCTCCTAACCAAAAATTTTTAATCCGAGAAATGCTATAGGAGCCAACATACGGATCATATATTTAGCACATAATTATTTATTATTAAATTTATCTAGATGACTCTCTTCCTATAACGAGTAATGATTTTGGGTTAAACTTATATTTTCCCAAAATGGAGCCATGGTTTAATGTTGTCATCATTTCATAATTTTGTATATATTCCAACTTCATGTTTGTATGCATTTTATTAGTAAGTTTAGTAAAATATTTCAAATGTTTTTCTCAAAAAATGATTTTCGATTGCACACATCATTTGCAAACTTGGAAAATAATAGACTACATTAGATTTAAAAAAAGGTGAGATAGTGTGGGAGTATATTTGCCAAGTCGTGCATTTTAAGGTATGAAATAATTAATGATGAATGAATTTTAAAAATGGTTATGATCCAAACACATAATTGCAATAGTAATTTTTTGAGGTGTGATCTTTGTTCTGCATACCCTGCAGATCGCAGGTTTCGAATCATGTAAAGAAAATAACAATTAATTATTGGGCTTTTATTTGCTCTAAAGGAATAAAATTTAGAATGCTGAATCATGCAATAATGGCGTTACCGCATGGAGGGTGTAGCATTTCAACCGATATTTAAAAATATCGAAAACTCTTCTGCCTCATTTGTCAGGATTATCTCCTAAGATACCACCATATAGCAGATTTGAAAAATGTTCCTTTACTAGTTCTCTACACAAATATATTTAATTGACCTTTTAGTTAAATCAATATATTCGAAAAATACGGTGTGCCATCAAAAAAAAAAAAGTGGAAACAAATCTATTATCTTATTCATAAAATTTACAATTTAATTTTTTCTATCAAAACAAATTAAAAAGTAGTTATTCTTTGCCGACAATTTATTAAACTATCCAAAACGCCGAATTTAATAAAATAGGAGATAGAGTTAGATCTCTACTGATCCCTTGGTTTATGGTATAGCAATACTTTTTTCCAAAAATAAATCAAAATTGTAGCAAACAAGTATCGAATTTCAGTGGAATTACTAAATTCGATAAATTTGTGCATGGTAAGTTTAACGCGCAATTCTCTTAATTTAGTCCCAACTCACCTGTTGGAAAAGCTGCCAGAACTAAACCGAAAACAACCGCCAAATAAAATTGCGAAGACATTTTAACACTAAACACAAATTTCTTCTACTCAAAAATGTTTATCCTGCCGCTTGTGAGTTTACAAAGACAGTGACAACACAAGAATGACCAAAAGTTGATTAGGAGCTTTTTGATCCTTTGAGATTTTCCGTAAGCGAGTCGCCTTGCCCCCTCCCTCTTGCGACGCTCCACACGCTGATGGTGACTTATTGTACGTTCATTAGTTAAATTAAACCATTCATCGGTTTTACGGGATGGACTGGGCGGAAAAGCATGGGTTACATGCGATAGGGGTGGAGTGAATGTGTAATCGATTAATTTAATTCTCATAATGCACGAATAGTATGAAACGTAAAAAAATAGTGGGGTTGATAAACTTGGGGAAATTTTAAAAAATAGTAGTTACAAAAGTTATGCTTAATGAGTGAATTAAGATTCAGTTAAATTGATAAATGCTTTTATTTATTTCATATAAATGTTATGGGGTATCCTATTATTACGTAGACATTAAGGTTGGATTATTCTAAAGGTTTTTTTCAATTTATTTTATTGTTATAACCGTATTTCACCTGAAGTTTTAATAATAATAATAATTAGTTATGTCGAATAATTAATTTTTCGAACTACACGATTTTGCCAGCTATTCCATCAAGCAGAATGTTTTTTTCTTATATTATTAATAATATAATAATAATAAAGCATGTAATTTTGGTCAGCATGCTTAATTACTTTAATTAGTTTAGTGTAAGTCTTCGTTACCAACAAACCTCAAAATTGGAAAATGTTGGCCCATTGTTATTTTTTGACCTAGCCAGGCTATGTTATCCATTTTAATTACTGATACATTTTTGGGGATATGTTTTTGTTTCATTTCCGAATGTTCTGCTGTTTTTATTTTGTACCTACCTGTTTATACCTACTTAAACACTAGGTTTTAAGATGTGCTCAGGAACTATTCTTACATGAGATAGTGTATTAAATAGCGTAATTAAAATTATCTAAAGTGAAGAGATAAGAAATCCTAGAAGTAATTCAAATTTCAGTTTTTGTATTTTTAAAATTACAAAACATTTTTAAAACCTTTTTCCAATTTATAGCATATACGCGAAGCATTTAAAAAACAGTTTGCTGTCTCAAGTAAACAATTTTTTTTTATTACAAAATACCTGCATTTTTAGTTATTTATATTATTATAGCCATACCTTCATGCTATGTTTTAAATTTTAAGGGAATACATTTAGAAATAACTCCAGAATAATCAGCAAACATTTGAACGTTCAATTTAATAAATTAATAAAATAATGTGTTTTCTTTAATAATTCCCATATTCAAATATTTTCAATACATAAATTTAATAAAATACTTTTAGGGCTATGATTAAATAACGAGAGGGAAATGGGAAATGAATAACTGGAATTTTTATTTTTTGTGCAGACAGTCCATTCTTATTATTGTTTCTTATTACGTTTGCAGCTTTTAATTTAATGAAATTACGTTGGTGCACAACAGAGGCATTGCGAATAAAGAGTCTCTTAATACCCTTACTCGTTATTTTTTAAACGTACATACGGCAGTAGCCTGACTGGAGAGATGTAATCTAAAAGGTCAATTGTCTAAGTCACAATTAGCGATGGGAAGAGTCAATTGAATTAACCTTTTGTAAGTAGTCGTATGAAATTAAAAAAAAAACATCGAAACCGGAAAAACCGGAATTCAATATTATACATTGACAAAAATATAATGATAATGACAATAATATATGTATGTATAGGAGCAATATTTTTTTCCCGAAAATCACAGAGGTGGGGTAGTGAAACATATTTTAAAATTTTCGGTGACACACGCGGTGAATTAAATCACAATAATTCCGTTTAGTTTACGTTTTCTGATTCAATGTCATCCTTTAATTCACATGTGATTCACGCAAAACGCGAACGTCTAAATTTGTTTTTATTGCTAATAAATTTGTTTATCGGGGACGCTAAAAATTGTTATTACACTTTTTTCGAATTTACCTTGAGGGTGTTTGTGGTGCGCGAAAGAGATTAGACTAAATGGGGACCAAAGTTTTTATTATCTAGTAAATGAACCGAAACAAAATCGATTTCGCTTTTTGTGGTTAAAACGATGTCGCCTTGGATTTCATATTTTTTCTTGCTAATATTTAATACCTCCGGCGCTGGCTTATAATGTGCTCAATTTATCATTTTTAGTGTTTTATATCTTTCCGTCCCCTTATTTTATGAAACGCACAAATGCGCAGCGATGCGTCAATGCTTACGGAGGGTGAATACGAATGCGGAAAACAACTACACCCACTTGGATATTACTCGAATAGCTTGAATACGATAACTGTCAAACTTGCTCATAATACATTATTCGTTTGTAATTTTTAACAGTTATGATTTGATTTTTGTATACCATTTTTGTTAAACATTCCTATAAAGAATACATCAGACCTTTTCGACTAATGTACCAGATTCACTTGTGATTTTGTGATTTGTTTTACTAACACAGATTACCAAATTGAATAATATATATGGGTGCCTCAGTTCAACAAAATTACAAACCGAATTTTGTATCGATGAGACTTTAACTTCAATTATGGTTATTATGGACTTTTACTTTTGCAAGAATTAAAGAAAACGCAGTTATACAACCAGTTGCACAGTTGTGGTATATTGCATACGGGGTTTTATTTTTCCAATCTGCTACATCTAAATGTCATGAAAAATCGAATTTACTAATAAAGAAAAAGAAATAGAACCTTTATCTGCAGAAACCCCTAAAGGCCTTTGTTGAAATGAGTTGTTATTAAATATTGTTTTGGTTATAGAATTTATTTTATATGTAGATATGGATTAGATATGGATGAATCTGTTTTAACTGTAATTTTTTATAACTTGTATTGTTTACTCTCACTTTTGATTAATTAATAATCTATTATTGAATTTTTTGTATTAGTTAGACGATTATGAACATATTTCTTATATAATATAATTTGTCATTCAGAGTGAACCTACAATATATGAGGTAAAGTCTGTTCATAGATATAAGAAAGTGACTAACTGATACGAATTAAGGAAAGACCCGGACAAGCTGTAAGAATGAAATATGGCCGATCAGGTCCGTACTTTACTTAGAATTTAATTATTTGGTGTTTTGTTAGGAAAGATACTAAACAATATTTATTTATTAATGTATGTATTTATGTTTAAATCTAAAATAAAATTACAAATTATTTTTATTGCCTACTTAAATTAATTTAAATTATTGACATAATATATCAGTATCACTATCGCTATCATCGCCTATTCTAAATATAATTTTTTCTATATTATTTGCAATCTGGATATACGATTGTTCTGCTTTTTGTATCTAATCTTTAATATTTTTCGCAGACAGAGAAAATCCATTTGGAACCCAACCATCTTTAGAGCCAGCATACAAAATAGTTATTCTTTTACCTCTTTTTGATGGTGCGTTTATTCTACACTTATCAGTTGAGTCAACCCAACCCTTTTTCGTCATAAGTGTCGAACCAGGTTTCATCCAAGTAAATAATTGGCCTTTGTTGTTCTCTGTAAATCCTAATTATTTCTAGATATTCCAGTCGCCATTTCCGAATTCTAAAAGATTCCACTAAAACTTGTCTTTTGTCAATTTTTTTAAATCTCAAACCCATGTGTTGAATACACTTCCATAAGGTAGTTCTGCCTCTTTTAACACCGGTTTCATATTTTTCAAGCATCTTAATTAAGATATCTAATATAGGCACGCTTTGTTCCTCGTATAACTGGTAAATTTTACGTTGTATTATATCTTGATCACTTTCATCTACACTCGAGAAAATGTCAGCATCGCTTCTTTTTTTTCTCGCTGAAATGGGATTATTCACGATTTTCCATACATTTGATGTTGGAATTTTCGTCAATGTTTCGTCACGTTCACTGGGAGTCAAACAAACATTGTTTATAACTTCCTTAGTCTCAATAGAATAGTGTTTTCTACATTTGGGCGGGAGCATCTCCTGAGATACACTAGACTCGCACATATTTGGTATAATTCGCACACGATTCAACACACTCTGTATTACACACGAAATAAGAATGATTACTAATAAACTTAAACTAAGTAGTATACCAAACCAAAGAATATTAAACACAGGTAGGTATAAAATTATTTTCTATTACGGACCACAATTTTACTTTTTTAATAATATTGTTGCATTGTATGTTAATGACCACCCTTGGATAATCCCATTCAAAAGCAATTGATTATTTTCTTATATCTATGAACAGACCATAAATGTCAGTACCGTGTCATGTCCATCTCTAAAATTCATCTACAAATTCTTCTTTTTTTATGATTTAAATTAATTACCTAAATATTCATTTCTATGATCAAACTACAAAAAATGACTTTTTCTTTAAAATTTAACGAATTTTTGAATTTGACTTTTACGACTCTAGTGCCATCTACCTGAAGAATTATGAAAAGTCTAGTGAATCATGTTGCAAATACGTTTCCAAGCATGGAGTTGATGAAATTCATGTCAGTACCGTGATAATGAGTCAGTACAGTGGAACGGAAATTTTTAAATTGTTTCTCGTTCTTATCTCTTTGAAGTTGTAGTAAAATCCTTTTAGATTTAATAACTTTTGTTTTGCATACAGCAAAAATTATAGACTAAAATTATTTTAAATTTAAATAGCTTTTCAGATTAGATCCGTGTTACTGCGAGCAGTCATTTCAATATTGAAGATATCCCAATTGTTTATTAATTGCTGTCTATTCAGTATGATCGTGTTAACCTTGATGTCGGAAATAACTACAACTCAGCTGCTCTGTGATAAATGACAAATGGCTATGACTGTTCTCAATAACGAATGCTTTTTTTACTAGTCCAAGCTCTCATACTTGCAACTTTGCCGAAACTGATTTGTATTTCTGTTAAAAAAAATCGATTCCGATCCTGCAGAACGTTTAACGCTTGTGTTATTGTGGTCTTTAAAATAAATATGATATCATGTTGTTCGTTTCACAGGCAATGTGAAATGTCGAGGTTAGATACCTGCTTTCCTGGTATCCTCCGAAGTATGAGACAATTCTTATTATTATTTCAGGCGGTCTAAAATATACTTTGCACTAAATTTTCTTGGCGAGACGTTGCAATATTGCTACTTAGGCTGTTAGGTTAGAAACCGAAGCAATATGCGTGATTCATTTATTTTTTTATAATTACAAATAGACCAGAAAGAAATAGGTGTATTTTATAAATAACATATTCCTCAAATTCGTATTATTATTCAAAAAGTCGGTTGTTTGACGTGGATGTATAAAATGTTTTAATTATACATACGAATATACAGTTGTCAACATAAATCCCAAATTTACTCTAAACTTTATTTTGAAAATATACAAATGTAAAATTAAAACTTCCTACCGTTAACCTACAAATAAATTATAATTATCCTTTAAACATTTTCTTAACAAAACAGTGGAATATTAAATGATAATCAGATCGCGTGCAGATACTAGAACCTTTCCACACTATTACTTTTTTTTTTAATTCACACATAAACGAAAAACTCTAGAAGTTTTTTCGAAAACGATTTACATGAGTTTTGGAATTAAGTACGCTAACAGCACTCCAGAGAAGGCTAGAACACTGAAGCTGACTGCTGGAGCTGAGTTACACCAGTCGGTTACACAGACGTCGCAGACTGACACCTTGCCCTTGTCTTCTCTACACGTGTATTTGACTTTGTCGCCGTCTTTATCGGCGATGATGCATCTCCTGCTGGTCATTTCCTTTTTGCTGTTGTTGTCTGCAAACATAAATGCAATTAGATCCAATCTAAAGCATAATTTATGATTCTGATACCTGTCCACACTGTTTTGAGGCAAGCTCCAACCTGGTTACTGCTTACGGTATTCCCGCAGGCCTCCACCTTGTTCCAAGCGCTCATCTCCTTCGCGCAAAGGTCATTCTCGCACGAATAGCATTTCAGTGCTGAAGCTGTAAAAGAAAAAACGATGTTAGAGATTTTATTGATATATTTTAGAAGCAGGTTTTCATATCATACTCGAAAATTATTAGAGGAAACATTTCACTTGGCAATCGGTCAATATATTATGCCATGCTCGTAACTAACAATCAACTCGCTATTGTCAAAAAAGTTTCTCTAAATCGATCTCGTCTCATATAAATTTTGAGTAAAACTGCGTTTCAATCGCACCTTTTTGCAATAATTTGCCTCGGTTTCATGAACGTATCTAATGTCCGCGCAAAAACTTCAGTTTAAGAACGACAGTTTAACAACATCTATGTAGGTCATTGATTGGCACGACGCGCAAAATCCTTTCACGAGATTGCAGCGGAGTAAACAGATCTTTTTCAGAGATATTTTTAAATTTCCTTTTACCCACTTCCCAGCTAGCAAATTTGACATTCCAAGCGCGGTTTTTGAATTAATTTGATAATCTGAGTGCCCAAATTTCAAAGAGTTAATTTTACAATACGCGTTATCTACTGTATTAGAACCTGTCAAGGACAATGGCGAATACAACTGCAACATAATGGTTACATTAGCGATATGAAAAACAAAAATGCATCTCTTGCATTTTTATGTGAACCATAAATATTGAAGAATTTTGTGGATAAAGTCTTACCTTTCTGAAATACCACAAACCAATGAAAACTCGACCAATCAAAAATCAAAATCAAACATTTTTGAAGGACTTAAAAACTTACAAAATATTGTTTTAGTAACCACATGTGCACTTTGTAATTTAATATTACTGATCTGATCAATGTAAATATAATTTGCACACTGCTTAGGGAGTTTATCATAGTGATTAGAAACGAAGTTCAAGGGTTTCATTAATACCAACCCAAAAATACAACTTTTTAAATGTATTTTCAGTAGGTTCAATACATAATAACATCATATTTATAATTGCTGTTTTGCTTAAAGTAAGCTTCATATGATAACGGTAATTAAAAGTTTGATATCAATCGTAACGCAAATGAGTCAATTATTTTTAAAACAAAGCAAAGTGACCTACTAGTTTATTAAATGAACCTAAATCTCCTGATAACCAAGGATTGGTTTCAATTTATTTGGCATCCATCTAAAAATAATGTACAGAGTCGGTTAAAATTAGTTTCCATTTGCGAAAAACGAGCTCCATCTCGTGTTGATGGTTAAAATAAAACTGGAATAATTCAAAAATCAAAACAAAAATTACATAAGATTTTTGTATTGCAAAAAGGGGTATAGAAAATCCTCCAAAAGGAGCTCGTAGGTTTGCAATTAAAACATCCATCAATATTATACAATGGAATTTTGATATACGTGGCCAAACTTCAGGAGGCAAATTTCATAAACATCTTAATAATATTTATTTAGATTTTATTGGAATTGAAACTTTTATTAAAACGATTTTTTTTTATTTTCATCTTAAAAACAATCTAGATGCTCAATAGGTCAAAAATATAATGGCGCAGATTTTTTTCCAAAGAAATTTCGTTAAATCGAATTTTGAATCAGGTGATTTACGATTTTAACGCAAACAATGCGTAATAATTTTATGATCGGCGGGTCTTCCACAATAAAAATACAGTGACGCTCGATAGTGCTAACTAAAGAAACTTGGCATGCGTGGACATCTTATTTTCGTACATAGACCAATAACACGCCACTCCCCAATCGATAATCGCAATGCACTACAGAAAACTGATGATTTAGGGTTGAATCAGTGCTACAAATTTTGATTTTGAAGATGAAGTTTAAACATTTGTGTCTAATGCTGAGCTGTTGTATGATAATCGTTAAGATAGGTGGAATAGTTGATTACTTCAGTAGAAGTTAACTGAAAAACCTTTAGACGAAAATAAAAATATGAAATCCAAAATAATTGATATTCGAAGGAAATTGTTCCTTACTTCATGGATACTTTCGTAGAAGGATAACCGCTAATTTTTTTTAATTTATCATAACTATTTATTTCTAAATAACTTTTATTTGTATTCACGTCATTATATTAAACGCATCAGTAATCAATACCTCTTTATTTTTTTAGAGTTTGTTTGTTTTAATTGTGAAAATCTATAGCAATACAATTTACAATTGTACCTACCAACGTCAAAACCTATCATGGTTTTAAATACGTTATTTTCTGTCGAATTAATCGTAGGTATCTGAGCAATGTTCAAAAAGCAAATCGCGATTGTGCTAGAAGGAAACGCAACCTACAATGCTTTTATTTTCGTTTGGAGACTATACGCACGCCTACATAAAAACAATTTTTTAATAATTGCAGCGTTGACCTTGGCAATACCTTTTCATTCGGATGTGTCATTGTATGGCGTTACAAACTATCGCGCCATATCTAAAAGTAATATTTTCCGTTGCCGAATATCTACGAGATTTACGAGTTGAAACTAATCCTGGAAATTGAATCAAAACATGCAATTTGCGAATTGGCATGGAAGCTTTGCTCCTTAGGTAATTTCATTAAAAATTTTCCCAACAAAGCACGGCGAATAAACATAATTAGTAACAATCCCCTTAGTACGGACCACAGCTGGTGGTAGCAACCCTCGCGAAGGTCACAAAAGGGCATGTGACACCATTTTCTCCATGTCCCCCGCTTTGAATGCCAAGTCAAGCTTTATTTCTAAAATTGCGTGTCGAAGGGAAATAGCCGTCACTGCAAAGATTTCATTGTAAACATGCAACAACGAGTTCCAATAACTTTCTCAAAATCGCTCAGTAATGGCAAATTTTACTGCACAGCAACGATTACCGCATGACATTTGCCATTTGCCATTTTTTCCAGATCGTATAGTGGATCGTTTTCTTTGGCACTGTGTAAATTGAATATACTACTTTGACGGGTATTTGACAGTAAAGCCTAAAAAACTGAGCAAACCGCATCTGAACTTTTAGTTCTTATTTATTGAGGTATGTAAAGCATTGAGTAAACTATTTTTTTTTTCGAACTAATAAAACTATGCGAAAAAAAAAAAGAATGCTAAAGGTTATGGAAATCGGGAATTAGTATTCAATTTCCGCGGGATTTCACGTCGAGTTAGATCGGAAATCTGACACTTGCATTTCCTTTAAGGCCTCAAGTACTTGAAGACCCTGGTTTCCAAAAGATCGGTTTACTTTCGTTACAGTTACAGTGTATATGAAAACACGTTAAGGAATTTTAGTTCCAATTAAAATTAATTCGATAAGACTGACGAATAACAAACTTATTTTTGGGTAAATAATTGACAAAGACGTGTGAAGTTCGTTGCGACTCGTCATAAACGTGTTCTTTTAATTTTGGCGGTTACTAAGCGATGATTATTTATATCGTGAATTATCGTTCGGCCGACAATTATTATTTATCGGCGATATTTGCATTTTAAATGTAAAATAGCAGTAATAAGCGATAAAAACTTTAACATATTTTTTAAATGCAACAACATATTTGCGTCGAGCATGTGTGAAGTGAATTCCGCTTTCCCCAATAAAGCTTCGAACACAATTTTTGATATTAAACCAAAATTTGATTGGTGGAAAATTAGCGTTGCATTTTCGCCAAATGCATAGTTGCGCTTCCATATCGCTATTTACCATCGAATAATTGTCATCGAGCGTAAACGATTAAATCTTCTACAAGGTCAGCGTGTCGAACGTGTAGTTTTTTTTTACTGCTTGCATTCGTTTTTTTGTTACACTCAGTTCCAAACTTTTTAAATTAAATTTGGTGCCTTTGGTTTGTTGATTGATCAGTGCACTACGATCAATTTTTGTTGGTAACACAAAAGACCCCCTCTTATTCCCCTACTCCCACCCTGTGTCAATTTCAAGAACTTCGTTCTTGAATACAACATTCAAATTACCTACGGACGAAAATAATTATTCATTGTGTTGTTTCATAATTTGAACATTTGAATGCTTGAAATTCAAATTTGTAAAGCACTTGACTGCAGTCACAGCTGCAAGTTTTTATTGGCAACAGAAAGCCGTCATCAATCGTCAATTGCAGCTTGCAATTTTTGTTTCTATTTTCGATGATAAGTTGTTTTGTAGTTGTTTTAGGCTGATTAAGTGCTGAATGTGTGTATGTTTGAATAAGAGAAATAAAACACCCCATTTAACACTGACAATGTTAAGCCTAAAATATTGCTGAATTCCTACATGTTCCCCCAAAAAAAGCAATACTTCTCCGGGAAGTCGACCATAACCTAATATTTAACTTCGCAATATAATATTCCTATAACAAAACATAAGTGGAGTCAATGTTAAATTCAAAGTCGATGTTCGGAATCGTTAAAATAAATTAACGTAGAACTGGTTCTCCGGAACGGTTCCGTTAATTGAAAAAAAAAATGGATGTTATAACATAGACGCTAAGAAAAGATGCAGTAAAACAAAAACTATTTTGGTACCGATCTATTTTTACGAATTACTGTGAACGCTATAAAGATTGAGACGTTGGAAATAACAATCAAGAACAGAAAAACGCAGTCAGGACCAATAAACGAATAATCTGCTTACCGATTTGCAAAAGCGCGACACAAACAAACAGCAGGACAAATTTCGACATTTTCGAAAATATCGCGTCGAACTCAAAACTGACTTTATGGTTTGAACGACGAATGCGCTTTCTGTTGCCGCTTCGGTTGGTCTTCTGGCCGAGAAATCGGCGGTAGCACACGGTAGTGTGGGTTTCTTTTTCGCAGGTCCGTATTTGCCCACCGCCGCACAAAAGTTTAACGCGTGAAAAGGGGACGCGATCGTTTTTAAATCTCGAACAATTTTCACTCAAAAGCGCAGCAAATTTGGAAAATTGCCTTTTTTCATTTTGTATTCGCTATGAAAGATTTGTTTGGATTTGTATTTTATTATTAGAGTTTCATTTATAAGTGTGCCACCATAGCACAATTTAAGTTTCAACATTTTTTATTAAGACAGTAAAGTTAAATTAAGTACATGCAATCAGAAGCCTTTAAGAGTTGGGGTTGATGCTGAGCTACGACTAATCTATGAACTAAGTTCATTTTGTCATTATTTCGCTCGCTGTAGATTGAACTTTAGTTTTGCCAAAACTGCAATCAGATTATGTTGATGGCACTATTTTCAGTTTCTTTTTCATATTTAGTTTGTGTTTGGCATAAAACAGTACCTCGTTTTGCTAGCAAGCTATAATGAAGACAGTAAAGGCATGCAAACCATCGTGTGTTTTACTTAATTCTTCATGCAGATATAGGAAATCTTAGAGTACTCATAAATAAATTTTCATTTCAAAGTGCACTCGCTCAGTACAATTTCTACATACATTTGCAGCAAGTGGAGATTTTGGCCCTGGACAAACAACCCATGGTCACAAATTGGAAATTGCATTCTCACAATGGTTCAATCCACAGCTCCAATACATCTTTCAAAAATGCTAGCTGAACGCTATAATTCTTCTGTGCAATTGCTCGGGATGCTTTATTATTGATTCTATTAGCTGTTGATTTTCATACACTAGAATGTCAAACTACTCGTAAAATACTTCTTGTTAGAAGCAACCTCAACTTAAACTCATAATGCCTGATTTATAATAAAAAATGTTATCCAATTAATACAATAGAAAACAGTTTATTATGACTTGTCATAATAATCAGGACGTTCCCTAAATATCCTGGGCCTCTTCAATACAACATTAATAAATCTTCCTCGTCAGTTATATTTGCGTTAAATTCGTAGAATTTATATCAATTATATTTTATTTTGTATGATATTTTATAGTTTGTGGGTCGTGGACTTGTTTCTACTTAGTGAACAATACAAAAGATTATTTGGGAGATGGTGGGTGCGAGTTTTCCCATGTCAATAAATAAATAGAAAACTTTTACATATTTTTCTATGTATTGTACTTGTCTTGTTGCGCGAATAAATACGTAACATTTTTATATTTCTTAATAATTTGGAATTTTAATTTTTTATCTGTACATAACAAAAAAGTTCGCCCACGATCTGGGAATTTTAGACCGCGGTTGAAAAAACGTGACCATGAGTCCTCAGCCATTTACTTTGTAATTAGATGTTATCGTTAAATTACTATATAAATAAATAATTAAATAAGGCACAGTAAATTATCAACTTGTGATCTAATGTCCCTTTTTAAGCCAATTACGGTAAGATATTAAAAGAAAAAGAATATATTAAATGGATTATATTGAGTTATTGTGAGTTATTTTTATGAAGGGACACACAAGTGTGTGTTCCCCAAAAACGTATCTAATGAGGGGATATTAGAGAGCAATGTAAGCATACTTCATCCATCGCAAAAGTGCAATTTGTATTTCAGAAATATGTCGTCCCAGTTATTCAGATCGGCTACAATTTGAGTAAGTAACATGTTGTATTTAAATTTTGTTTAAAAATCGAATATCTTCCGATATAGGATGAAATATAAATGAACTAATGCTTAAAAATAATGCTGACAATCAAAGTGTTAAAAAGCCACCTAAAATTTGGGATTTTGTTATATAAAGTCATTCTATCCCCATTTCTGACGGCAATAAATGTTCCTTATTATTTTTCATTTTAATAATTGTTTTATTAGGCATGCGTTAAGTTGTAAATTGTAAAACTGAGAAGTGCCATTATTCGCACGTAATAATGCCAATTTATTCTAAACAATTTTTTCAGGAACCAGTAGTCAAATTAAATAAGCCAATAATATTAGTAGGTTTTAAACTGATTAAAAACTAAGAAGTGATGGAAAGATAGAGATACTTAATACGCTTTTAGCTTGTTTCTGCAATAATAATTTCAATGCTTTGTTGTACATACAATCAATAATATCAATGCCTTATAAATATTTACTTGCAAATTACTATTTGCTCAATACAGTAAGGTTGAAGTTGAATTTATTATCGGGCTGCTGTCGTTTTGGGTATTGGCCTCTTTATTCCCTTATTGATAATTTAACTAGAAAATATTGGGAAAATAACAACTAATTTGTTTTGTTACTTTATTGCCATGGCGATTAAACCTTGCGTCCCATATGTGGTGATTAATTCTTGAACCATGTTTTACCACCGCCCAAGTTGTGATGTGTCTAGTTTTCAGCATTCAGCGTATTCAAAACAGTTTCGAAAGTTATCGAAAAAACCTGGTAAGTCATTCATTAAATCTACTACAACTACTAACATTATCGCACTTATTTTGCATGATATATGTTTCAGTTTATTTATTATTAATCAAAAACTAACAAAAATAATGCACGCAAATTCACTTGTAAAATTTAGTTTATTGATAGGTACTCTTATTTTCCCTGATTTTAAATGTTCGTTTTTTCACATTCGTCGTCGTTACATTGTCTATTAAATTACTGTCCGCTTGTAATTTACAGTGACATCATCAACCGCTGCCGGCCCCGACCCCAAAACCATCAACAAATATGGCGATTGCTTTTACGTAACCGACATTATCATTGTCGTTCTCCGACCGAATTTTAATTAAGGTGGCAATACGTGCGGTTGCCTCCCCACTTCTCATTTCCTTACCGCTTTACAGGTAACCTAAACTTTGGTCACTGTTTCTTTAACAACATATTCAAATTATAGTTCTGGCGCATCCACCTAATTAAAGATTTCCTATTTGGTGTGTTCCGATATATCCCTTTGCGAAATAGCAAAACTAAAGTGCATTTTAAATTTAAATTATGAAATATTTTTTTTGACAGGTACAAATAATAAAAGTAATATTCCGTTAACCTTTTCGCTACGTTTAGAACTAATTATTGAGTGGTGTCTCTGTATATCAATACTTTAATTAATTGGTTTAATTAAATTTTAATTCAACGAATGTTTTAAATTAAATTGATTGATTGATTATTGATTAATTACTTCTCAGACATTAAAAATAAAATTATGAACTATATCAAAAAAACAAAAGATTCCAGGAGCCAGGATTATTTATTCGATGACTTCTTATGATAAAAAAAATATATAGAAAATATTACTTATGCAAAATATAAATACTTAATACACATTAAAAAGAGCAGAAACACAATGTAAAACATGTCTGGCATATATATACTAACAGTTAAAAGGTGGCTGTTAGAAAAACGGCCACAATCGCGATCACCAATGCGCCAAGTCTGGCGAACTTGGAGGCTGAGTTGCATTTGTCGGAGTCGCAAGTGCTACATTCGAGATCGCTTAGTGCTTCGGGATCGTTGCTGGATATTTTGGACACCCACCCTATACTCTCTGCAATAACGCTGCAACCAAACGCGGGCGGATTTTGACAACCTCGTGCCACGTACCAGTTTCCTTGGCGATCTGAAACGAACAAATTCTGTATTTGTTTGTGGTGGCGAAACGAAGCACTTACTCCTCGCAGTTATTTTGAAGCATTTCGTTGTGAACAAAGAGTCGAATATGCCAGCACTGGCACATTCTTGAGTGGGATAGACGAATGAGAGAAGACCCCAATCGCAAGTCTTACTCTGCTGGCTATCGCAGGAGTAACATGTCAAAGCCTTTGCTGCAAATAAAGCAAAAGTCATCCTTTACTGTATAGCAATGCAATAAATAAAATAAACCCTTATGTAAATACTTTACTTCAGGCTTTTAGAATGGTATGTTTAAATTTATGAATTTTTATTATTTTAACATTGTTTGCTTAATTTGATTTTTTCTAGTTTCTTTTCAAATCTAAACCTCATCTTAAGGATTGCTTTGACTGTACAAGAATGATGAGATGTGATGAGATTTAAGAAAAAAGTGTTAATATTAGTGAAAGCTTAAAAAGTGTTAAATTGATGCATAGTGGATGTATGTCGGCACACACTTTTGAAATCCTTGTCCAAATATTGTTTTTTAAAGATTTTAGTTTTTTATATTTAGACTTGTTGGGAGTCTTCCCTGAAAATGACATAAATAAGCATATACCAATTTACCATTTTTTTAAAATAATTTCGTAATACATGACCAAACATCCTTATCCTACTATTTAAGATGGCGATTTGGAAAATTATAGGTACTTAATAAAAAGAGAATAAATTAAATTATAATAAATTCTGTAATAAAAGAGTGTAAAAGTTTATATATTTTTTGGACTATACTACAATAACCTATGCGTTTAATGTGGCTGTTAAGTTTATGGCCAACATTAATGAAATGAATTAGCACAGGTAGTTTTGAGATAACATTATTGGTATTTCTAACATTTCCAACGGTTTTGTTCCCTTTATTTATTCTAAAACACGGATTATTTACAAAAACATCTAATATCCCTCGAAATAAGAGTCACGATGATTACCACAATAGCCCCATCGCTGTGGTATCCTTAATTTGCCTCTCAATTTGTACCAGATTTGAAATAATTTTAATGTAGTTTTTGAATTTAGGGAATTTAGAGTAAAAATAATGTCAAAAAGGTATTTCGTATAAAACGTTTTGAAAATATAGACAGGGAAAACGAAAAGATACCAATGCTTACACTGATTATGATAAATTTGTGGCTTTTAACGATTTCTAAACATGTTTCCAATAATACAATTTTTATCTCACGAGATCATGACAATTTAATTACAATTTTTTTTTGTTTACTGGTGTTATCCCTGTTATAAAATAGGCAGCCATTATGCCAAAAATGTATAGGTTATGTTAGTTTATAGTTGTTTTGATCTTGTGCCTTGCTTTATTAAAGCATTAGTCTCATTCAAGATTCAAACATTCTGCTGGTCCAAATCCGTACAGAATGAAATCGAAATCGACCATTTTTGAAGCCGAAATCGTGGATAATACCAATGTTAAGTAGAAAAGGGTGTGTTGCTTTCTTTAATTACCTACCTGCATAAACTCCCGTCAAGATAGCCAATATATTGCGCAGGAAATTCATTTTCGCACTTATTAACAAACTAAAGTATCACCACACTCGATATTTCAATAATACTCGCAGACAGAATTGCTGTTATCGCATTTTGCAGCAACGTTGATTACACCCGAAAACACAGTGGCGTACCAGAGAAATCAAATATAAATGTAAACCTATCAACTATACCAAATGTTTTGTTTTTTTTTTACTGATTAGATTCCAGCATTTATATATTATGTTTATTAACAATAAAAAGAAAGTTGTTGGGATATAATCAACAAAAATTCCTTGTACATATTATTTAAGTATAGACAACCAAAAAATTTTCGTTATTTACTATCCATATCTCGCATTGGTTATTTAAATTAATAATATTTTACTTTGAACACGCAAGCAACAAATTCGATAATTTTTATTCTTTGTTGGATTGGTTAGCTTTTCACATTAATTACTAAACCCAGTGTCCAAGGAGTACAAAATAAAACAACAAATAATATACTTTTTCAAATTTTAATATAACCAAAATACACATAATTTTTGCAGTTTAACCAGTAGCTTAATTAGACTTTTATTTTCACAAAAGCATTTACATAAAATATCTTTGATGGTAACAAACACTACTTAAAAACATCGATAAAATGTTAAATATATAGTTTTTCATTTTGAAACAGTAGGTATATACGTTTTCCAATATACATATATAAGTTATATATTAAAAAAATATATAGTTGTAGAAAGATTTATTGCAACAATTTAATATATAAATATATGAGGTGTTCATTAATGTATAAAAAGTGAGCAAAGTAATTCACAAAATGTTTTTTAAAATATTTCATTTGATTTATTTATGCCACTTTGTCAGCTGATCCTTTAGTACCTCTATTTTAACGTGTGCGGGAATGGAATGTAAATTACGTATAAACCTACTAGCGCATAACTCCAATGATGCCTTAAATCATAAGTAAGCTATAGGATATACAGACAAAACCTCTTAAATTACAAAGCACATCTATATTCTAGAGAAAACAATATCCCTACCGACCTAAAACATATCACGAAAGACATCTGAAAAATAACAGAAACAATACAAAATATACACAATGTAACAAATAATAGCAATCAATCAAACGGTTTAAAAGAGGAATGCAATTGTGGCCAAAATCAATCCAAGTATGGTAAATCCAGTTAGTTGGGAGGCCGAGTTGCACTTGTCCACGTCGCAGACGTCACACTGAATATCGGTGAACTGGTTGCCACTAGAATAGCCTGTCAACCACCCAGCAGTCTTGGCTATGGCGTCGCATCCAAATGCCGGTGGAGCTTGGCAACCGCGAGCGATGTACTCTGAACCATCGCTGTCTAAATTTGATACAGTAGTATTAGAACCGTATCGTAGAACTGACAGATTATTTCATTGTGTACGTGTTAAGATTTAGTAACATAAGTATAAAAAACAGTTTACTAAAAAAATTTTTAAACGCTTTCCTGGTTTAATATTTTCTTGGTGACTCCTTCTGTCTGCAAAGTAATTTTCTAAATATTTTAAATATAATTCCGTAATTAATATGTTTTTTTTTTCATCGGAAAATAAATATTAATATTACTTATTTAACTTGTTGTTCGATTCAAATGAGAATGAAATCTTACCCTTGGCTGTTATTTTGTAGCATTTTGCACCGGCAATGCTGTCTAGTATGCCGGCGCTGACGCATTCTTGAACTGGATACGTAAAAGAAGCTATACCATAGCCACATCGAGTGGAGTCTTTACTATTGCAGGAGTAGCATTTCAATCCGTTGGCTAAACAAAACCAAAAAAATATGGTTCAGAAATTGCGTGGCTGTTCTAGAAAAGAGTCATTCGTCATCATCCATAGACAAAATATGTTGTAAAAGTTCCGATATTTTTGGATGTCACGCGAACAATTTTATCACTTATTCAACAAGGAAACGCACAATTAACCCATTAGGATCCTAAAATAACCGGGTAGGTGGGTTTGTAAATAAAACGAACCTATTAATTGATAAGTTAATTTGAGACATTTTTAGACGGATTTACCAGTAATTGGATGGAAAGGAGGCAGCAAAAACCCACATGGACTTATTGTTATCCTCATCCACATAATAATAAATAAGAAAATAACAATTAACAGCGAACCAGTATAAATAAACAACTGCGGGGAATTCAAAATTGAGTCTAATATTGACAGCGAAAACTGAATGCGAATTTAGACTTTTATTGTTACTGGGCGTAAACGCTTACACACCAGTTTATTTAAGGCGTTTGTAGAACAATGATCACATAGTTTAATTTAATCCTTGACAGGATGTCCACGGTTTAAATAATTAACTAACTCCAAACAATAGCTGACGGGCATTTATTCATAAACGCAATAAATAACTTGTAACTTTATTTTCAATATCTTGTTTTGACGATTACGATCGTTTAAAGGTATGGAAACATAAAACACAATTTATAGGAATAGAGTAAATAAATAATCCAAAAGCCATAACTACGTATAGATCAAATGAAATGAATAGCAGCAAAAAACTTGGAATGATTTGCCAGAGAGAGAAAGTCGAGATATTTGTTCCTGCTATAATAATTACTATTGGATAGTTTCAGCGGCATATAAAATCTTGATATAAAATCTGTCCCTACGAAACATATGATACTAATAAAATTTAGTTTTGATAGTATAGTTTTGAGTTTTTTCTGACTGAAACCACATTATTCTTCCAATCTAGGCAAATAGAAGTTAGATTCTTAAAAACTAACTGTTTTTGAAAATGCAAAATAAAATTACTTAATTAAAAAATGTATGTATGTTATTGCATCAACCCAAAAATAAAATAACTCGATAATTTGCGCCAATTTAAGTTACAACCATACTTCCCTAGGAATGCCATCGCTATGATATCATCGCCTTGAGTCACTTTTTAAAAGCAAGGTTAAGGCAGGTAAATAAACAAACACGAGACCATAATTTTAAATGTATGAACAAATTGTTTTTTTTTTGCGCTGATCATTTTGTTTTCAGAAAATCGTTTCAGTTCAAAGATTATCTTAATTTGAGGTGATATGGTTAGTTGTAAGGCGCATTGTGCTTTAACAAAAAGGTAGTCTTGAAAAATATAAATTACAAATTTGTATTTGAATATAAAATAAATAAGCACCATTATTAATCTCACTACTTTTATTATTTTTGGAAATTAGTAAGTATATATAAAATAAAATTACATTGATTAACTTTTATTTAGTATTTTATTACTCGACAGCTCTAAAGCAGTAGACTCATTTATAAACTACCCCTCCTTCATATAATTACGCAATTCTTACCTGCGCCAATTGCGAAAACAACGGCGAGAAGGCAGGGGATGATTGAAGCCATATTGGCGGATCGTTGGAAACTTCCCTTGCGAAATTTGTATTTATTGTCACGTTGAAGCCCCTTCTACTGGATTCACCACGAATTTGATCCAATGGGACGATAAGTTCTTAAAAGCGAATTAAAAACTTGCCGGCAACACTTAAACAACGAAAACTGTCGAACAGATCGGCAGTCTGCTGGTTCTCGTTTCGAATATCCTACGATAGACGACATAAGCACCCCTCTACCAGAAGTGTTAAACCATGTTGCCGGACTTTCGAAGAGAATTTCAGGTTTCATCTTGCAAAAGCTTTGGGCAAGTCACGCACAGTTGTAAGCGGAAAATATTTTTCTACAACTCCTGTAGAAAAATATCAAATATATTTTTAAGCGTGCCAAAAGTTTCTTGCACTGCTTTAAAATTACGTACTTAGGGAATCATTGATAATACGTATTATTTAATTATTTTTTTCATGTAATTTGCTTATGAACATAATTATTACAGGTACCTAGATCATACATAGATAGTAGTAAACGTTCATATTATCTTTATTGGTATTTGCTATTAAAATGATATATTATGCAACAAGCTTTATAAACGACACACACGACGAGTGTTTAGTAAATAAGTGTCTAAAAATGTTGCAGCAATTTTTTTTTTGCGTCACTTGCCCAAATTACTGGTGAACAATCTATCTTTAAATTAACTTTAATTTTACCAAACTTACCATCGGCGTAAAACCGTACCTAGCCTTCAATAATCATCAGAAGTATTTGTGGTTTGGGTTTAAGGCAGTCACCGTGGTTCCAGACCAATCCGAACAAGCCGTAGGACAATATCGTTAGGTACTTCGATTTAAAAATTGTAGTATTTAGTTCGTAGGCGTAGCTAGTTCGGCTTTTATATTCTTTTCACATTATTTTCCTGCGTGTTACTAAACAAAAATTTGATATTGCTGATGTCCAATTAAGTGTGTGTTCAATAATTGCAGTTGTTGCAAAAACTACCGGGCTTCGGGTATAATTTTAAAACGCGGCGGGTTTATTTAAAACAATTCTTTTCTAACTCAGTCAATTTCGTATTGTGAAAAAACGCCTATTATAATATTAAAAACTAATGTCTATAATTTTTTATTAATTGCATGACCTGTTATCGATTAAGGCCAATAACTATATCCAGAATTTCATAATGTTTGACTGTATTTTCCGTAGCTTGACAACGCCGCAAAACATCAATTTCACAACTCGGACGCAAGAACACGCGTCGGTTCGCGAAAGTAAAATTAATTCGTGATGAAATTTTTCACAAGACGGATATTTTTTTTTATATAAAATAATATCTAATACGGTTGTAAATAAATTATCAAAAACTTTACACTTAGCTGTATAATGCCCAAAGCCTCACCTGTTATTGTATTCA